AGCAATCTATACATACCTTGTCTTTGTTTTTATTTCCAAAATGAGCTATTTAGATTCATAATATTTCATCCTGTTTTGAGAAATACTTTATAGTTTTCAACGGAAAATTATTTCTTAGATTCTAAATCAATTTTTGAATTAAAAACTTATTTGTTTTATATTTACTGTCTCGTTTATTCAAAACACGTGAGGTAGTTATAACGGGGATCGTATTTTATAATAGGTTAAACGGATGTAAAACGTTTTAGAATCAAAAACTTTAATTCATATATTATACCTATAATTTTAATTTTCTTATATTTTAAATATTCAGAAATAATGAATCCACAAACTAGATGGAATAATTTGTATACGCTCGTCTTAGTCGGAACACACATACTGGTATAAAGAAGTCCGTCCATGCTAATGTGTGTCCGTCTGTCAACAGTAGCGAAAGAGTGCGCTAGGGCAAAGTTCTGAAATTGACGCGACAAAAAAACCACACACATCTAGTCTAATATAGTCAAATAGTCTGTAAGTTAGCCAGTGTCATCTTTCATTTCTCTTTTTATTTTCAATGATTTTGCTAATGAGAGGGAGAGGACAAAAACAGACTTTCCTTTCTAAAGAGTCGTAAAACAAAGGTTATTTCGAACATTTTTCATTCCGACGGATGGTGTTTCTGAAGGTTAATTTTGTGCGGCAACAACATCATGAGATCTGATACTGATACATACATGTGATCTCTTGTATAACCGGATAATAAAGTAGGTGAATATAGTTGTTATTTTTGATTCTTGAAAATTTAAATGTGGGTTTCAAACATCCAATTTGCAATTTTTTTCAAATAGTGCGCCAGCAAGGAAAACTTGTACTATGACGTCAGATTCAATGTTCTGAAGAAAGACAACTCTTTTCTTCAAAACGAACGAGAAAAAAAACATGAAAATTAATCATAACTTTTTTGAAAGGTCAGTGACATATACATTTTTTTGCTTTATTTTGAAGAGTACACATGGCACTTTCCTTCTTGAAATTTTTATGAAAAAATCACTGGTAGATATTTTTTAATACTTGAAACGTTTTTCATTCTTGTGTTATATTTTTGGCGGGAATGAAATAAATCATATTTTTTAAGATCAAAACAATAAGAGTCTTAAACTCTTGAACCTATAATTGATAGACACAAATCTACTGTTTAACATGAAGCAAGAATTATGCTTGTAGTTTTGATATAATGGGATTTTTTGAGAGTTTAAATAACAAGCAAATATCATGTTAATATTCGGGAAAACATGAAACTGAGGTTGCTATAGTGACAAAACTAAGTCGGTGACCCCCAATTTTTTTATCATATTTTGTTCCTAAAGTCATGAAATACCTTCACACAAAATTTTAAGGAAAAATCACTGGTAGAACTGAATAGGCTGTTTGGTCTTTAAGGGGAAGGTGTATACCTTAAAAGAGAATGAAAACGGCAAAATACACCAAGTGTCAATATGTATTTAATTCGTCCACATTTAATTTAGAAACTCATTCTATGTTTGTAATCCCATGTCATGTACTTGGTGCGTGAAATAAAGTCTACTTTTTTACTTTCTAATTGAATTATTATATGAAACAATTTTCTATAATATGGCTCGTCATTTCTGTTAAAGAGGTGTAGTATCATAATATGATTGCCAATGAGACAACTCTCCATCCAAGACCAAATGTCATTAATGAAAGCAACTATAGGTTACCGTACGGCCTTTAACGCGGAGCATTGGTTAACACCGCATAGTACTCTATACAAAGACCAAAGGGCCTCAAAACGACCAGTGTAAAACAATTCAAAAGAGGAAAAATAACGGCCTGATTTATATATACAAAACAATAAACGAAAAACAAATACGAAATACAACAACATACGACTACCACTGAATGTCAGGTTCCTGGCTTGAGACAGGTTCTTAAAGTATATACTAGCTACTGCATTATAATCATTAATTTTTTTGACAACTATCGTACCACTTCAAATAGAAATAAAAAAAAAATGTGGAATGATTGTCAATGAGACAACTATCCACTCAAAACCAAATGTCGTTGATGTATGCAACTAGTAACCGTACGGCCTTCATCGTGGAGCCTTCGTCCTCGCCGCATAGCAGGCTATAGAGGGCCACACAATGACCAGTGCAAATCAATTCAAATGAGAAAGACAACAGCTTGATTTATAAACCAAACAATAAACTAATAGGAACACAGCAACAAACGAAGACCATTACCCCCATTCCCGTTACACCATCGCACTTTAAATAGCTTGATATGCCATCACACGTTAACGTGTTATGCCATCGCACTTTAGCGTGGTATACCATCGCACTTTAGCGTGTCAGACAACATCGCACCTAAAAAAAAACAACCATCGTACTTAAGCGTTTGACACCATCGCACTTTAGCATGACCCTATAAATTTTGGTATGAAGGTTATATCATCCGAAATTCTCATATCAAGGTCTAAAACAGGACAATGGTCACTACCAACGTTTGGATTAAATTAGATGAGATGGATACATTTCATCTGTATATTTAGAATAATAATCTGGATTATTTACAAAAAAGTATTGCGTTTAAATGTTTGCAGCTAAAATTCTAAATATCCAGCAAGTTGCGTTTCATTTTGTCTTTATGGAGTTTATCATAACAGCATATGAACAGATCTTCAAGTAGAGGGACACAGTTAGTCCCCATCGGAAAACCGACAACTTGATATGGTCATATTTTAAATTAACTGTTTACAAAACTAGTTGTTCGAAATACTGAGGATTTTCTACCACAGGAATGGATTTCTTTAGCTGTATTTGACAAAAGTTTTCGGAGATTTTTGTTCTTAATGCGCTTCAAGTTCGTACTTGATTAGGTCTTTAAACTCTTTGTTTCGAGCGTCACTAATGAGTCTTTTGTAATCAGCACGCGCGGTTGGCCACTGCGGTTGGTGGAGGTTTCCTCCCCGAGTGTAGTACCAGACAGCATTCCTGTGTTGACATGAAATATCATTAATATGGTCATATTACAAATCAATTGTTTACAAAACTTTGAAACGTCGAAATACTAAGGATTTTCTACCCCAGCAATTGATTACACCTATAATAAGTTGTATTTGGCATAAACGGGTGTATGGTGTACAAAATTATAAGTATCGTAGCTCAGATGGTTTTTATGCTACCGACGTAGGCAACGTGGGCATTAAGTGTTACCCTTGACTGCCTTATCGTCAATCCGTCCGTCCCATTTTCGTTTCCGCATTCTGACTTAAGTTTGCCTCATCCAAATTTTATGAAACTCATACACAATGCTAAGATCGCAAACAGAGTTCGAATTTGGGCAGTGAGTCAATTACAGTTATAGAGTTATGCCCCTTTATAACTTGGAAAATTGCAATTTTTTACTTCCGCACTCTTATCAAAGTTTTCATCATCCAAATTTTCTGAAAATTATATACAATACTTAGAACCAAAACTTGCAGATAGAGTTCGAATTTGGGTAGTGAATCATTTTCCGTTCTATAGTGTTATGCCCATTTATAACTGACTTGTAAAATTGCAATTGTTTTCGTTTCCGCACTCTAACTTAAGTTTGCCTCATCAAAATTTAATAAAACTCATACACATTGGCTCAGAACCACAACACGCAGACAGAGTTCAAATTTGGGCAGTGAGTCATTTACCGTTCTAAAGTTATGCCGCTTTTTAACTTGAAAAATTGTAAAGCTTGAGCGGTGCAAGTGTGTCCTTAGACACATTCTTCTTTTATTTTAGTATTGTTTTATTCAAACGTACACAGATACCATCATACAATAAATAAATGATGGCGATCATTTCTTTTCAAGTCCACTTGTATTTTACGTCACAGTGTCCAAATTGCATCCATATTGCAAAAAAAAAAAGCAGACTATTTAGGTTTTCTTAGAGACTAAAGTATTCGTATCATTATAATTTGTCATTATGCACGTCTTTCGACATATAGCTAAATATACATACATATATATACACAATGGTCACATTATATATCAGCAGATAACGTCTTCAGTGAAAAAAGTATAATTTACAGAAACGTTGCATGCGAAGCCTACAAAAAGTCGAGTCTTGAAAATGAGAAATTTAACATAGTGTCACAGACGAAATGCGTTATTAAGAAACATATGGACTGACTATTGTTAAATTGTTTAAAAAAATGTGAAGAAATAAAATAGAACATCTGTTATTCGATTTTTACGGATGTGTTGTTCAGCATCACAGGCACTTGTCTCAAAAATTTTTTTCCTATATACCTTAATTTGTGCCTGTGTTCAGCATGGGTGCAATTCGTTACAGAATCGTGGATCGTTTGGAGGTCGGTTCAACCCTCGAGGTTCAACCCTACTTTTCTATGATTCAGTATTTAGATTCAAAATTAAATGTGTAGAACTATATAGTAAATAAGGATACATATGCAAAATAAATAAAGAACAGAAACTTTTGTGTGTTTCTTTAATAAACGTAAGTGAAAAAAAACTGTCAAACTTGAATAGGTGCAATTTTAACAGTTTTATTACAAAAAGGGGATTGTATGGGTATAACGTTAACAGATACACTCAAGTTTCAATTTTACTAAATATAAAATTTCGGTTTGATGAGATAATTTGTTTAAGGGAGAAAGGGTTCTTACAATGGCCGATTAGTTTATCTAATAGTTTATTTAGATATTATCACATTTTTAAAACAATCCGGATTTTTATATATATTTTTAATTTTAACAAAACTAGTCGGAAGCTGTGTTTAAGATTATATATGTCTTGGATTTAGTAATTATTTATTGGCATATTACCGCAGGATTATTCCGCCAAGTTACACGACACTCCGATCTATAGTAAAGAAGAAGAAGGAAACGTATTTAAAAATGATATTTAATCACGGAAGCATTTATTGATTGGTTGTGTATTGGGGTCAGTGCAGGTAATGGCAGACGTCACACTATGTGACGTAAACCTGGGAGTTCCATATGTAAACACTGTAAACTTCCGGGTCACATCAATATCGAATCGTTTTAGAGAAGATTTTTTTAATGGAATCCATTTTGTCATTTTATCACATTTCATAATACATGAGCCAGTCACTGACCTTGTATCGTGTATAGTAATTTCACTAAAACTGATTTTGACCACCTGAATAAACACTATAAAGGTAAGTTAATTAGGTCAATCTTGTTTATATTGAAATCTTGCACTTTCGACAAAAAGTACATTATTTACCAGTTCATATTAATCAGTACCTGGTAGACATAAATATAAATAACTAAAAATAAGTAAACGTAACAATTAGTTACTTGGTAGGATTTCAATCTGAGAAATGGATTAAAGAACATACGATGAAGCGAAGATACAAATAAAATATTTCAGAAATTCTCAATACAGGTGTGTCGCAATTCTACTTTGTCATGCCATCACACACCCCCGCACGCAAATAATAATTTTACATTGACACTCGTCGGACTAATACACCTACACTGGTGTATTTTATGTAAGTTATTTTTATTCCACTTCTAATAAATTGCAAGATATTGAAAACGTTGGTTTTTTTTATAATATAATATTATTATAATGACTTTTTGTAGTCTGCACACGTAAGCCAACTATGACATTTCATCATCATGAAGGTGGATTCCCCTTCTGTTAATAGTCATTCTGTAATTTTTACCAGACGTATTTCCTGCAAGTTTACTGTGAATTGGTGTCTCAAGGATTTTACCATACGGATTCGTCGAAAATAAAAACTAATGTACAGTTTTAGACCTTGCAATGTTTCGGTAAATGTGCCGGTTTAATATGGGTAAACAAGACTTAAATGCTTTATAACTGGACTATAATTTTCTGGAATTGAGCTTTTACACGGGAAAACGTTTTATTTAAGTCTTTTGTTGACCACATAAAACAAACATTTTTGTCATTCTTCAACGTTCATGATGACAGATGACCTGGATTAACCTGGAATCTCTCTCTCTCTATATATATATATATATAACAAGAGGAGGGTAAATTCATTAAGTAATACTCTCCAAGCCTTACTCAGTTTTTCCTTTGTTTTGGCTACAACCAGCACTATATTTGGATCTATACATTACCGTTAATAGTGGTGGATTGAAATACATTGCATATTACAAATTTCCCAGTGGAATCGTGGTCATTGAAATGGTATGGTATTTGATTTAAGAACAATAGCAGAAACACACAACGGTATATGTTTTTTGGCACACAATAATATTTAATACTATAGTATACAGTATGTGGACCAAAGTCATTTGTTTTGTTTCCCTTTGTATTGTATACAACTGCTTTTCATTGTTTCCAAAAATCTGAGGTCTCGTCAACTATAGTCATGCTTCGATGACTTTTGAATTTACATCACATGTTCAATAATTCAGTTTTCTGATGAATCGTATGATGTACATGAATGTTGAAGGAGTGAATAAAAGAAAATGTGGAATATAAGCAATCGAGATAACAACCAAACAACACAAAAACATAAAGTCATCTAAAGAGGTCAGCATACGTCTTTACAATCAAATTAAAATATAAATTACTGATTACGTTATCCTTACTTCGACGAGCAGGCGAGTTCCGAAGGATTTGAATTCTAATCAGATTAATTAACGTCTTAAACAAGACAGTATACCAAGCTCTAAGTACCAAGAAGTCTAAAATGTTATAAATGGATTAAACAAGGATAAATAATCTCCATTTACACAAATTTTCGTCCTAGGGTGTAACTGAGCATTGGTATTTTCTATGCTGGTGAATCAGGGGCGTAGCTAGGTATCCAATAAACTGTAGTCACAGATTCCGACAGGGGGACTGGGGGCCGCTTAAGGCCCCCAGCAGGTCCACCCTGGTAGGGGGTTCAGGGGCTTCGCCCTCGACGGAAAACGGTTTTGGCATTTTAGTTGCAAAATTTTGTGTACAGAAAACATAAAATTTACTTGTAATTTCATCATGATAATATACATGAGGAAAAGTTCGAAGAATTATAAATAATTTTACAATAACATCTGACTGATGAATTAACGCAGTACAATCGGAAATCTAAAAAAAATATTTACAATATGCATTGCATAGCGTAGATCATCGTAGCCCTTTAATTAAGCAGTACATCCTGTTTAGTATTTTCATATCTTTTCCCTTTTGATTGAGGATAATTGATATATACGTCAATTGATAGTACATATTGACGATCCTTCATTAAAAAATAGGCACGTAAACACTGAGACTACTATATAATAATACTATCCTTTGGGCTAGGCATCGATCGTTCATCTTTTGATTCTTAAACCTCCACCCTCCCCCGGCCACACAAACACGCACACACAGTCGTTGTGTAATGCAGAAGTTCGATTCTGTTAAATATATGCCATCTCAAAAATTCAAGAAATTCATATTTTCTGATTTTCTGTACTACTAGTATAAAATCCCTACCTGCTTATGAAGTTGAATAATTATGGTCATTATACGTAGATCTGAGAGTTCTCGAAGTTCCTGAAAGCTAGTTGATTGATTGATTGTTTACTAAACGTCCAGTGGCAAATAGTTCAGGCATGTTCAGGACAAAAACAAATTTACAATAAGTACAACAGGTAGGTCCTGTTATAGGGGTCGTCCAGGATGAAGGTCTTAAAATTTGGAAATGCCATTGGAAAATGAGGGTTAATTGGATAGGGATAGAAATTTTGCCTTTCAGTAGACCACTTACGGACCCCTCAAAGAGTTGCTGCAAGTGTTCTTAACGTACAGAGAGCGTGCCATTCTCTCTACACTAGGCAATCAGATTTAACGTCCACATTCTGACCAGACGTGACTGCGTATTTATATATCCCGCACAGCCGAATGGACGCTCCACTTTGGCAAGGATTTTTATTGTATGTCGGATGAAGACCAAGTAGAAAGCTAGTTGAAAGCCAACAACAACTAGCTGATAAAAAAAATCATGTATCTAAGAATAAAATGTCAGGGTTTTGAGCATGTTGAGGTTCATTCAAGTGTTTGTTGATAGAAGTGAAATGATCTGAACCAAAGTTCTAGTTTTTAGTTTCTATATAAGGTGGAATATAATGTACATACAATTCTATTCAATACTTCATTCACTAAGACTAGTGTTCAAATGACAATTCAAGTGCATCTTCAGATAACGTTGTCATTATTCTTTTTTAATAAAAAAAATATTTTGTGAAAAAATTATGTGTTGGCACTTGCCTAAAGTGCCTAACGGCAGCTACGACCATGGGTGTATTATCATTCCATGCCCATTCAGTTTTAAAAAAAAAGAAAGGAAATGATATGTACTTAGTCTAATTAGTAATTTTTCAGTAACTTTGCATGTTTTATTTGTACACGATTAATATTAAGGCCTTATTATAAGGCATGTTTACAAAAAATGCTGTTCAACTTCTTACTTTATTTGGCCTTTTACTATTCCATTTCGAGCTTCACTGATGAGTTTTTTATAGACGAAACGCGCGTCAAGCGTACAAAATTATAAACCTGATACCGTAGCATTATCATTCTTGGCTGCACGTCATTTTTAAGCAGAAAAAGTCTTCAGCCCTAAATAATTCTACATATAGCTGTGACTTCAGAATAAATCCGACAATAAGAAAAAAATATTTGTTTTCAGTATTGTAATGAGAACAAAAATAGAAAATACTTTGGGACAATAAATAATAATAAAAAATACACTCAAGAAAAAGAAATTAGACAGATTATATTAAAATAAAAAACATTTCACAGAAAATTATTTTCAAAAAGATTTAGCTACACCAACTCTATCAAAAACTCGGATTGACATATCGATTTTCCGACAGGTAAGCAGTTCCTGTACTATTTGCGTTATCCTTCATGTTGCTCATGACGATCTTGTATCGTCCATATATTTGTTTTCTTTTGACCATGCTGTGTTTCTTTCTTCAATTTTTGACCCCCCTTAAATTGGTTTCTTCTGCCTTTTGTCTTCTTTGTGTTGTTTCAACCATCTAGAAACCCTAGTTTGGGCAGGTTGAAAGCATCTACCCAAGAAAATCTTGAAAGGAAACGTAAGCTCTGGAATATCGTATCAGCCGGGAGACGCATACTCCTTATGATTGAGCTGGCCTGCTAAACGAAGATGCGTTTTCATTGAGACTCTGACAACATAACGTTTTATATTATTTGTTGAAATTTTCAAAGACTTTAACTGAACGTTGTTATTAGTATTATTCCAGTCATTGTTGCCATAGACTTCGGAAATATTGTACGATATTCCCAATGCCACGATAATTTAGAGGCGAGGCATTTTGTGTTACTTTTCTTTCAAAGATATTCAACACTTTGGACTTACCCGGAATTACACTTATCATTAGCAACACGGTAGACACAGGTACAACTAGTGGTACATGAACTTCTTAATCTTCAAAAACACATTAGTTCATTCCCGTTGCTTTTTTTATGGAGTTCGTGTTTCCTGACTCCAGGTTTCTGTCGTTTGTGACTTAAATTTGTCTTTTCGTCCTTTTTTTTGCATGGCGTTCATTGGCGTCCGATTGAGGGGTCATTACTTGAAGTTTTTGTGTAATATAAATTATTCTTTATTGAAAAGCATTGTCCCAACATGGGCCACTTGCTTACTGCAAACATGAAAAACAAACGGAAAGATACACAACAAACTTGAGATTCGTATTTCATAAATAAATATATTTTTAATGATTCTCTGTGTCCTAAGTTTAAGCGACATGTTTAAAAAGAAGCCTAATTTGAAAGCACCCTGCATTGTTTCAGTATAAATTTTTTTAAACTTAAGTTCTGTATACAGTCGATATCATGTGATATTATTGCTATAGCAAAAGTATTTTCATAATTAATCTGATTTTCTTTCTAAAAAAGAAATGAAATTTCCATTCTAAGACGTTTCAATTTCTATAGCATCTAAAATCTCTGTGATGTTTTCTTTTGTATCAACCAATGGCTATTGCCTCAGACTATTCATAAACAGTGTTCGCTGATTAGAAATTTACAAATCGAATAGCAAGTACAGTGGCAGATCCAGAGGGGGGGGGGGGGGTCCGGGGGTTGGAACCCCCCTTTTTTGACGATCAATGCATTTGAATGGGGACATATAGTTGGAACCCCCCCCCCCCCCCCCCATTTTATCCTGGGTTGGGAACCCCCCTTTTAAAAATGGCAGGATCCGCCCCTGAAGTATGGTTTAGGTTATAACTTTTCTATAATTTGAAAAATAAAACATAAAAAGTATTACCGAAATTGTTGGACAATACAACAGACAACAATAAACCTTCGAGAAAAAAAAAATAACAAACCACGACAAAAAATAACGAAAAACCCATCCAGATAGCCTTACTTGACACAGGCACCCAATGTTTGGATTAACACTTTCATGGTTTGTGAATTTGACTTTTTTTTAATTTTTTAAATTTCAGAAGTTTTCCGGAATTTTCTTGTATTTCAGTCTTTATTTTTTTTTATTTTTTTACACATTTTATCGTTTATCATTTTTTGTGTTATTCTGACTTTAAAGTTTTTACATGACAAGTATAAAGATACCACGAATATATGCTTAAAATTGTGTAAACGTTTTGCCAAATTAAATGTTATAATTTAGGGAATTTTGGTGTTTATTTAGCAAACATTTTGACCTTCCTTATTTGTTTGCTGAACCAGGATTTTTTTTTTATGAGTTACCGAAAATATGGAAACTAACTGGTTAAAAATGAATTTGTTTCTACTGAGTATTCTTAAGTTACCATTACTTACTTCACAATTAAATTGCCTGATAGTAATAATATTTATTGTCATATAAACAAATTAAACATGTTTGTGACAAAAAAAACATACCCTAATATGACAACTAATGTTACTTTTATAACATGGTTTACCACAGGCATTTGTCTCTGAAAAAAATACCTATAAACTTTAATATAACACGTATCATATTAAAGCATATAGGTTATTTTTTTCAGAGACAAGTGCCTGTGTGGTTTACCCAGAAAGCAATCAAAACTGTTCTTACGACGCACTAAAAAAAGTTTCAAGAACTCAGATTCATCAAAGGTTCTTAGTGTGTGACCCCCAATAGGTTATCACTTACCTTTTATAGTATTAAGGGGTTTTAAAGTCAAATTGAATGCCTAACAGGAAGTATAAATTTCATTAAAATTCAGAATTTAATCACATTTTCCTTTGAGAAGGAACACACAGCACCAGTTAATTTTATAGCCGTAATTATATGTTTAGATTGGGGTTTTATTTGCGTTTTAGAATACACTATTTGTGTCTACACAGACTACAATACATTTTGCGACAAGAATGCAATCCATTTGGTAGAGTGATAAGTAAAACGAGTAGTTTTTTAATTCAAATTTGGACTGAAATCAGGCGTCCACCGAGAAAGAGTTGCAGAGATGGCCATAGCTGAATTTTTATATGGCACTTTTATGCTTGGACAAACAAAGAAACGAGACAACACATATATAAATAAATGTGGTTAACATAAGTAGAAATGGGTATAAACTAATTACGGACAAAGGGGATTATATACAATTTAACCATGAAAATAAACAGGCAGATAGGGTCATATATACTTCTAAGAAAAATGAGGTTATTTTAGATATCTTGATTGATCTATCATTTATCGGAAGTGAAATGACAGATCACATGCGACATACGAAAACGTAAAATTTTGTATGAAATACTTCCTTAGTATATATAACAATTAAAATTGTTCCGCAAATTTTTGTAAAATTTTCTGAAATTATTTTTTTTAGAGAGAGAACTTACTCAGTTTATCAGTACGGAGTTTCTGTAGAATGGAAGGTAAGTGAATTGTTTGTATAGTAGAAAGTGAACTGAAGGTGTATGGTTCACTAGGAAATGATTAGAAAATCAAAAATATAAGGCATTATAAAGTTGTCTTTTTTAAGGTTAATATCCCCTTTGCTACCTGTAGTTTTTTTTTCTGTTATTGGTTGACAAACTAGCACAAAGACCTTCTTTACGAGGTTAAGTTTGATTTCCTTGAAAAACATTGAATTAAAATATTATATAAAACTGATAAAACAAATCTAAAAAGACATTATGATTGATCTGTACATTGGTTAACATAAGAATTTCCTCGGGTCAATCGGTATAACTCATTCATAAAAAAAAATAACTCGAGATAGGTGTATTTTAAGGGATACTGGAATTTTTTTTTTTCATCCACGTTCGTGTGTGCGCACGAATCCTCTCATTAGGAACCATAAGATATATATAATAATGTAAGTTTTCATACTCATTTAGGCTAAAATGAAGTTGCATATAATTCCACAAGTGAACCATAAAGATTATATTTTTACGGTTTAGAAACTTGCATGATCATTCGTTACGAGTAGTCCAACTTGGGACAATTGTTGGCACCAACTTTCGAGACCCTGTCAAATCTCCATATAATTTTTGACTGCCAAACCGGAGACCACGACGAACTTAACGTAAATATGGATTACCAATGTTTTTACATGGGGTCGCTTTTTCTTTTATGAAATTCTCCATTATATTCATGAAATAAATAGGTAAATTATATACATAGCAGAATTGGAAAAAAAGTTTTTGGTAATTACTGTGATCCTTACAAAAGACATTTTATAAGGTCAGTGGTTTGTGCATAATCGGTTTAAGAGAGTAACTGCATTTGCAAATGTACCTAATCTTTTATGCAAAATTGTTTCACTGGATATTCTCGGTCACAAACGTGACTTCATATAGATACATGTACATTCAATGTACTCAGTAAATGCAAATATTAAACATCCAAGTGCCATTCTTGTTTTCTGCTTATGGTTGATATGATATATAAAATACTAAGATGTCAAATAATTTTCAAAAGTAGAAACCATCTTTATAAATGCCTTAGCACACAATATATACGTAAGAACTATGTTGACATTCTGTTGATAAAAATGCAAGTTATAAAAATTTAGACACTTTCAAAATAGATTAGTCATCAAAATAACATGTGTATACATCTGAAAGTTCTCAAAGTTATTTCCTCGTCTCTTTGTAACTAAATAGTTGTGTTTTAGCTATACAAATATGAGTATCCAGTAGGAGTCTTTCCTTTAATAATTAAATTAAAATTTTGTTTACTTGTTTTTCTTCGGATTTTTAGTTCAATATTACTTTAAAAGATGTGTGTCATTCGTATGTTCCTTTTTGTCAATTCATCATAAAAGCAGGATGTATTTTTCTCATAACATCCTTGATGGTGCCTCACTCCAAATGTTTTCAAATGCACGACACAGTGATGATGGTGATAAGAAACGCGTATCGGGCGGTCCTTAGCCTATTAAATTTCTAGGTTCAGCTGTATCATTCGTTACATATAAGATATTCAAAGAATGTCCTTAATTTATTTTTTGCTTGTGCGTATTGGTGAAGTCATTCGTTGTTTTTATGGTTTTTGGGGAATTTTACATGGAACCTGACTTGATTTTAGCTTTAGATCACTGCTTTGGATTACATTGGAAATGTTCACTTACTTGTAAATGACACAAATATAAGATGACATTGAGACAATATAAATATTAGTTATGTTTCGTGGTAACTTTTTTGCAGATGGACAAAAGGGTCCAATGACATTCGACGACATAGCTCAGGAGCATTTTACTCATCGATTTACCCTAAACAATGCTCAGACAAAAGGTAATGTATGGTATACTAAGAAAACTAATTGCGTCATTAGTTGTGAACAAAAGTCGATTTATGATAAACTTAAGGAAAACTAACTGGGTCACTGGTGAACGCGTTCTTTCAAGAAAGAAAGAAGTTTTCGAACAAGGCGTATTTGCTCACCTTTTTGTCAAAAGATTAATGTATGCCACTTTATCATATATTTCTTGTCCGTTGCCATTGTATAAACGTAAAAGCAATTGTGCGATAACATGCTCTCCACGAGTGCATGTGGAAGGAAGGTCGTAGGGGGTTCAATCCGAAACTATTGTCTGCTTTGCCTACAAGCACACAGCATGTTCGGGATAAGAACACACAGACTGATGATTTTGAGTTGGAATAATGCGTCCGGTACGATGATATGCCTTCTTGTGGACTGATACCCGAGTAGCAAGAAAATTTTAAAAATCCGACTTAGCGTGTCGGTCTAGTACAAAGGGTATATCAGTATTCATATCTTTTTGATATTTAATCGTTTTAGATTGGCGTGTAATATTTACCACTCATTCCTCCTATTTATCTTGTCTCAGTTTTAATCATGCTATGTAATTTTTTATATCCAAATAACACCTGGTATGGCTGGTCATTACTATTAGAAGGTGTGTCACAAACAAGGAGGAAAACCATACATTAAAAGTCATGGTCAAAGACTTCGGTCAACTTAGTCATCCCACGGATATGTACGAAATAGTTTCTGCTATCTAACTTTATATTTTTTGGAAAATGCTATGTTTAAATGGAATAACCCTGATTACTTCTGAAACTGCATCACAATTACTTCTTTATTCAAACAGGACCCTCTGTGGTGGCTCTCATCTCTATGTGGTTTTGTTAAGTAAAGCGTTCTAAAGTATTCAATCATCGGCAGTTCAAAATAGACAATACAAATATTGATAAACACAGCTTGTCCTTGTCTTGAATTCAAACGAAATGGTAGAAAGTAAAATAGAAAAAACCGAACTCCAAGGAAAATTCAAAACGGAAAGTCCTTTATCAAATGGCAGAAAAGCTCAAACACACCGAACGAAAGGAAAACAACTGTCATATTCCTGACTTGGTACAGGCATTTCCTTATATAGAAATTGGTGGATTAAACCTGGTTTTATGGCTAGCTAAACCTCTCACTTGTATGACAGTCGAATAGAATTAGTAGAAGACCTCATTAAAAATCAATATAAGATGTCAGTGAATCCAAAATCTTCCTCAATCCGTATTTTTTTTTCTGTCAGTACGTCAATGTGCGTCAATCCCGTTCCGGTTTTGGGTTTTTCTTGATTTTTCGTAAACTATACTAGAAGGAGCATATTTCCCGAAAAATATATCTGTTTACAAAATAGTATCATGGTCATAAAATAATAAAAATGACATGCCCGTACCAATGTTTTTCCACTTATTAGTTCTGACAACAATAAAGGAATCCGACTTTGACAATAAGATCGTTCTAACTGCTTTTATTCTGCAAGTTCTTAAAGAGTCGCACCTCTAATCTGACTAGATTTTTTTTTAATAGCGTAAGCTTTTAGTCGCACATGTTTAAAAATTTTGAATTCGCTCGGTTTGTTTATGTAATAAAATGAGTTTTTAACGCTGATTCATCATACGATTTTATAAGATGAGAAACGAAATAAAAGTGTGAAAATAATGCAAATTTATGTAAACACAGATTGATAGCACTAACGTGCCGATCACTGTCGTTTTCAGATTAAGATATACATATAGTTTTGACGAAGTTATACTTGAATTCGAGATAAAACGTTTTTTCTAAAAATATTGGAATACTCTTCCTTTGCAGTTTGCTTTTGTTTACATTGAATGGAACTAACTTTCTGTAATTAAGAGTACTCTTGGCCTAGTATTTTTAGTATTAGTTGTCAATTTGTTAGTTTCAAACACCGATCTGATGAGTTTAATGTCTTTCATCTGATTTCTACAGTGTTTTTTTTCTGTTACATTTCCCAGTGTAAACTAATATATGTATCAAGTTTTCCCAGACTAAAATATCAATCAGTACACCGACTTCCGACGGATTTAGTGTAAAAACGTTATGATCATTCTGGGAAAATCATGACCTTGAGCAATGCCAAAATACATGGACATGAATCTTTGTAATATATTTGTTCTTATTGAATTTTGTATATCTACGTGACATTGTATACAATAAAATGATTTGCAGATATGATTTGGTTTTCCCTGACGTCATTTTCACAAGTTAGTGGTCGCTCAACCATCAACTTAACCGAGACGGCGGTACAACAGTAAATGTACCGCTGTCTCGGGTTAGGTTGATGGTTGAGCGACCACAAACTTGTTTAACCCCGCCGTTTTCTATATGTGCTAGTCCAAAGGGACAGGTTATCCAGTATTTGGCGTTGATTTCTGTTTGCCATATTAATTGGTTTTGTTTATTGATATTAGCATTAATCAGACCGTTGAAAACCAAAAATTTTCATTCAACCTCACTTTACCAAATTAATTGCATAATTGCTCACGAGCATGAAATTTCTCAAAACTTGGGCGTATTCCGTTAATTTTTTACAGTTCCAAAATCAAATATGTAGCCTTAGGCTATTCACGCCCCTTAGTACTCTTCCCAATAAAGCAAGATAAACATAACGTACAACTCTAGAACGGAAACCGTTTTTGTGTTTGATATTTTATAAATTTTCAAACGTAGCGCTTTGAAAGTACAACAGGTCTTTTTATACGACCGCAAAAAAAATTTCAGGTGGTATATTGCTATCACTTCGTCGTCGGCGTCGTCGTCGTCCGAAGACATTTGGTTTCCGGACAATAACTTTAGTTTAAGTGTATGGATCTCTATGAAATTTAACCAAAAGGTTCAATACCACAAAAGGAAGGTTGGGATTGTTTTTGGGGGTGATGGTCCCAATCGTTTAGGAATTAGGGGCCAAAAAAGGGGCCCAAAACAAGCATTTTTCTAGTTTCAGGGCAATAACTGGTGTATAAGTATTTTGATTGCTCTGAAATTGTACCACAAGGTTCAATACCACAAGTAGAAGGTTGGGATTCATTTTGGGGGTAATTGCCCAAACCGTTCAGTAATTAGGGGCCAAAAAGGGTCTAAAACAAGCATTTTTCTAGTTTTCAGACAATAACTTGTGTTTAAGTGTATTGATGTCTCTTAAATTGTACCACATTTTACAAAAAGAAATTTCTTCTAATGTTATTTTTTTTGGAAAAAGGGGGGGGGCAATTTTTTTTCCACAAGATTTAAGAAATTAGAAAGAAAATTTCTTCAAATATTATTTTTTTGGAAAAGGGGTGGGGGGGGGGGGGGGTAAAAAAAAAGTTGTATACAGCTGTTTTATAACGCATCCACTTTTTACACTGTTCTCATTTCCGTAAAAAGTCTTGAAAGGACTGTTTTCTTTGAAATGTCAGTGAAAAAAATTTCTGGAGCTCAACCCCCTTTTTGAAAATTACACTGTTTCTGCCAATTTTGAACACCTAGTAATAGTAAAAGTAAATGAAATAAAATTCTTATCTGAAACTCACTAGACAATTAATTTTTAAGAATATTAATTTTTTTCTCATATTTACATCAGTACAGCTCGAGTATCCTTACTTTTTGTCGGATTCCAGGACGTCTACAATTAATAAAGTTTATTTTTTCATATTATATATAACTGATTTAGTTTAAAACTTATGTCTAGATGACTGTAATATGGGTGAGCATCAACGGAGATTTAAACACACGAGACTCTTGATGAAAAAGGCAAACTAATATTAATCACAAAATGCTTTTACCTTTATTGTAGAAATGTAGTTTAACATATATTCAAATTAAGCAATGCTTATTACGAACTTTGTTGTTTTTTTTCCAGCTATGGATTCAAATAGTATCACATTATGGCAGTTTCTTTTGGAATTGTTAATTAGTAATCAACACAGTCGGATTATTCAGTGGACAAATAATGAAGGTGAATTTAAGCTTATAAATGCAGAAGAAGTTGCTAAACTATGGGGATTGCGCAAGAATAAGCATAACATGAATTACGACAAACTTAGTCGGGCACTGAGGTATTATTATGACAAAAATATAATTAAAAAAGTAATGGGACAAAAATTTGTGTACAAATTTGTTTCATTTCCAGAAATAGTGAAGACAGAAAACAAAGTGCCATTTAAAGTGAAAATGGAAACATTGGCACAGGAATATGGACAAAAAGTATATCCACATTTTGCTTCGTATAACCCCATGGAACTAAAGTCTTCAGCAAATCATGCATTGCAACCGAATCATACTCAAAACTTGTCATGGATTAAACAGGAAGAACCGGATACAACAACACCTAGTCCCATACCCCATACTGTAATGGAGGTCGGAAACACAACTTTATCGGAGACAAGGGTTCCATCTTGTTCACCTTCACCATCACCTGTCAATTTATCCACATCGAAAAGTGATTCTGTGATGCATAAAATGAATGGAGGAAGTAAACTATCAGTAGTTATAAATTCTGCTTCTTCTAAACCGAAACCGGTGCCCTTGTCCTTCAGTGAAATTAACAGTATGACATCATCAATATTTTCATCATCCTTAAGTGCTCTTATACCTGGAAGTCCAAAATTCGTTTCGCCGTTAGTGCAGCCTAGTCCAATGATTGGACCAAGAACTCCATTTTTACATTTCTGGAGTTCCCTTAGTCCTATAACGACAATGAGCCCAAGGGTTTGCTCTGCATCTGCTTTCCAGTTTCCAACGTTCCCGGTGACAACAATGACATTATCTCCGATGGCAGCACCATCTAATTTTTCAAATGTAGAATCGTTGGCAACGCCAGCATTGACTTCACCTACAAGGACTACATGTATATCTTGTGTACTATGACTGTAACTTTATATTTTGTTGTAAATATTTATCAATCCCAAGTGCTATTGAAAATTTATCACGCTAGAAAGGTTTTAGACTTCAGTCCTCGAAGGATGTGACGCGCGTGTTTTATGTTTTTATACTGTAACATTTGCTTTTTCTTTATTCTATTTTTACACTAATCAGATTATAAACAAGCAAATGCAGTTATTGTAAGTATATTTATAGTGTCTTTGTTAAGTAAAGTTATATAGGTATTTTTTACAGAGACAATTAAGTGCCTGGCTGTGACCTACATGTATCAAACTCATTTCAAATGTTCACAAGACTTCAGCAGTATTAATTACATTGGTTGCAATCACCGTGATAAAAATAATTGTTATATAAAACATGATAAATATAGATTATAACATGGCATTTTTCATATCAGACCCCTTATCAGCCCTAGGTCATGATATCAGCCCTAGGTCATGATATCAGCCCGAGAGCCTTTCGGCTCGAGGGATGATTTTGACCATGGGCTGATAAGGGGTCTGATATGAAAAATGACTTGTTATGTTTTTTTTTATCATATACTTCAACAGAAGACATACAGGACAGGAACTATTTTCAAAACTTTGAAAAAATGCATTAATTGTATTATTTGTTTACTTTCTTAATAATATATTTTCATGTTTCGTAATATTTGTTTTTTTATACGACTTTGTTTTTCACTGAGGTGTATTTTTGAATTTGCCGAGTGACGTCGAAATGCCATTTATTATAACGTTACAGAAAAGCATGCGATAATAACCGGAAGCAGTTGATAACGAAAGTCATATCACACGGCTAAGGCCATTCTTCAAATTTAATGAATAAATATGTAAAAATTACCGTTTTATCAAGGGGTACAATTATACCATTATTTTCTATAAGTATATGATAAATCCTTCATATGAGGTGTTAACCAGAGTTAAAATTTCTCTATATTTGAATTCTTCGATTATTCATTTATTTTATTATATTGACTGTTTATGTAAATAAAGTACAAAATGAACTACAATTTGTTATGTGCATTCAGGGATTTTTGCTGTTTAAATTATTACGCCATATCCCACATTTTATACTTTATTTGCATTTATGTCAATATACGAACATACCAATGACTAATCGAAGAATTCAAATATCGAAAAATATCCAACTACTGCAATAGCTGGGACTAATACTATATGTCCCAGACAAAAGTGATAATTATAATTCATGTCCTACGCTGTGTGTTGTTCAGTTACCCGTTTACTATTGATCTTTCAACTCTTGGAGTAGTATTTTAAAATTTTGCCTTGAAAATCCAAGTAGGACTTAAAATGCTTGCTTTTAAAGAAGAACTGCAAAAACTGCCAAAATAGTCCCGCTTTGAGAGCTTGCCATTATATTAAGATGATAGCTTAGGCCTTACCAAAAAAGTTTGATAAACGATGTCTTAAAAAGATATTAATGTATTTAACATATCTTTTACGGTGGGGCCTTGGCTGATATTTAATTTTGCCGAAAATATGTGTAGAAAATCCATTTAAGGTAAAATGTAAATTTTAGATTGTTAATGACGTTACAGTGATATGATAGCTGAAAATTTTGTACTTAAGAGTCCAGATTATATCATCCTATTTATTTATAGATAAAACTAGATGAAATAATTGAATTTTTTTTTTACTATTTTTGCAATTTAAGATAATGGCTCATCGTGCTCCTCCTTCTTAATTTGTATATTTTCTAAAAATCAATTCATGCCGAAAATATTTCCCCAACGTAGTGACCATGTTTCAATGACTGAAACCTGTTTTCTGACTGGTCTTTACAAGTATCATTTGTTTTTATCAACGCTCCGATTGAGGTTGACGTATATAGATTAGGCAGCTCTTCAGTCTATGAAATATTAATTTAACCATACATAATCTAACTCGCTCTTAATTGATTGAGGTAGCTGCATATGTAATTACCACATTTGCTCAATTGTGCACACAACCAAAACAGTTTTAACTGGCTTAGTCACTTAACATTCCTTTGACTCCCCACTCCTATGATGTTGGTACATTGCTAATTCAAAGATAAGAAAGGAGGACTATCAAAACGAAAAATTAATAGTATAATGATTGCGATAGCAACTTCTACGCTAACGGTTATAGTTTCCTGGAGTCGGTTGCACAAAAAATCTTACGACTTAGATTGATCGTTAGTCATGAACAATTCAGTAAACTTACGATCAATCTTATAGTCGTAAGTTTTTTTGTGAAACCGACCGCTGAACCTTAAAATGGTTATCATCGTCCATAGATCAGCTTACACGGACCATAGTTCAGTGCGAACTATTGTCATAATAAAACACCTGTCGTTCTTAAATACATTCCTCTCGAACTACTGTGCCAAAATGTAAGAAATAATTAATTGGAAATCCATTATAAATTCCGTATTCCGAATTCTTTTGGAACAATTTCCAAACTTCATCTATAAAAGTATATACTAGTAAAGCAATTTCTTTCAAAATTTTGTTAGAAGGATGATGTTGTCTAGGAAACTGTCACAAACACAGCATTTCATGCTGATCTGTAGGCATAGAACATTGCAGACTTGCTGTTGCACATTAAACTCCGATCGAAACCTATATATGGGAGTGATAATGTACGAAACGGAAGGACCCCATGTAACTCCCCTTTATGCTCTGACGACTCAAGACATGGCAGTTAGGAGAATTCTAGAATATGATTAGTCACTTAACAAAGTCCTTGCCTTATTAAACTATAGATCATATGATCTTATACTAATGGTGATGGTGATCGGGTTATCCACTCAACCAACAGAATACGAAATGATTTGCGTGTTCTAAGCTATGTACCAAACATGCCAGAAATATTATTTCGCGGAAAGGTCATATAAAATTGCAAGGTTTCCGTTGTGGCGAACATATGCCTAGAAACAGGAATTCATGGTTGCTATTGGTCAATTCTCAAATTGCATACCTCTGACTTAAACTCGGAGAGACTTATTCAAATTTTATAGTGGTTATGACCCTAAAGACGTCTCTGCAAAGATTCATTACTATATATTGATAGGGTTGCATAAATGACGATTGTATTTCTACATAAACCCATAAAACCCTGTTGGACTGTTTTCTTCTCCGAAAAGTTTTTAAAAAACTTGATTTAGGAATAAAAAAATGATCGTCCTTTATAAACAAGCAATAAAAAAACAGACAAAAAATATAGCTTGATACTATATAGCTACTTTGTCCAGTTTTGTTAAATGATTTTTTATATGATACTACAAAGTCAATGTATGCTAAAAAAGGGTGATGATTTTGGTTCGAATGGAAAATAAGTTGATAGCACCCAGTCGTGTCAAATGCGGGAAACAAGCTTCTTTGAGACTAGATTTATCATATGTTATTGTATAATTTATATTTTGTTCTCTAAATAAAAACATGTATTTTTAAAAACTCGTTATTACTTCATTTTTTATTCCAACGACACTATAGGCTCCGATCGAGTAATTTAGAAAATATCTCGATCTTTGCACACGCTCTTAGGACATGGGTCCCCTTCTGTGTTACAGATATTTTCAATAAAAGAAATGTTTTTTTTTTTTTTATTTCTGTGTATTTTCCTTGTATATATTCAGAGATATAGAAAACCAGTACATTAACGGGTGTTGCACGGACATTTTTTTAGTCAACTACCGACGAAGTCGAAGGGGACTTTAGGTTTGCACTCCGTCTGCCTGTCTGTCTGTTCATCTGTCAGTCCGGCAAATCAGTTTTCCAGACTTTTTTTCTTCGTGCTTGAAGATATTGATATTTGGTTTATTGATTTATCATGACAAGTTACAGGTCAACTTCAATTTTCACGATTTTAGCTTTTCTCTTTGTTCAGTTAAAGCCCTTTCCCTAGAATTAATTTTTTGATGAAATTCTTATTAATTAGTAGATTTCTGTTCAAAGGGAAATAACTCATTTTTTAAAAGACAAAATGACATTTTGGATTTTTTCCTTTTCTTTGGTAAATTGTTTGAAGAATTTAGTGGTAGATTTGTTTGTCATTCTTGAAGATATTGATTTGATAATCAGTATATAGTTTTATCATGACAAGTTACAGATCAAGTTGGAATTTTGTTCCAGTCTGATAATTTTGTGCAGAGTTATGGTCTTTGGACATAGAAAATTCACTTAAATAATCAGTTTTCAACAGTTTTTTTCGTCATGCTTGAAGATTTTGACTTGATATTTTTATGTAGTTTACACCACGACGAGTTATAGATCATGTTAGAATTTCGTTCCATTACAATGAATTTGTAACCGGTAGGGGACTATGTATTGCCATGCTATACTCACAGAATGCTTGTTTTAAATAGAGTCACTCGTGCATTCAGTGAGTTCAAATCGTACACCTTTCGACCCGATTTCCCGTTTTAATACGACCGCAAAAATTTGCAACAGGTATGGCGATGTCGTCGTCGTCCGAAGACATTTGGTTTTCAGACATTAACTTGAGTGGAAGTGTATGGATCTCCGTGAAATTGTACCACAAGGGTCCATATCGATTTTGTGGGTTATGGCCCTAACCGTTTAGGAATTATGAGCCAAAAACAATACTTTGAAAATTCTTTGTATGAATTGCTTATTTCTTGACCAATTTCAATGGAGTTTAATTCAGAGTCTTGAACTCCTAGGTTGTTTTTTTAAAGCTAAATCTAATCGTGTATTTAGATTTTGGAGTTTGGGTACCGTTTTTAAATTGGTCCACTTTGAGGTCCAGAAGGACCACAATCAAACTTGATTAGATTTCATCAAAAATTGAATTATTGGGGTTCTTTGATATGCCGAATTTGAACGTGTATTTAGATTTTTAATTTGGGTCCCGTTATCAAATTGGTCCACATTAATGTCCAAAGGGTCCCAAATTAAACTTTGTTTGATTTCAAGAACAATTGAATGCTAGGGGTTTTTGCAATGCTGAATCTGTCATTATTGTCCAGACTATGCGATCCTACATTCCGTCGGCGTCGTCGTCGTCGTCGTCGGTGATGTCGTCGGCGGCGGCGTCCACAAATATTCACTCTGTGGTTAAAGTTTTTGAAATTTTAATAACTTTCTTAAACTATCCTGCATTTCAACCAAACTTGGACAGAAGCCTGTTTATGATCATAAGATAGTATCCAGAAGTAAATTTTGTAAAACATAATCCAGTTTATCCGTATTTTACTCATAAATGGACTTAGTTTTTCTGCCAGTTAAATTAACATTCACTCTGTGGTTAAAGTTTTTCAAATTTTAATAACTTTCTTAAACTATCCTAGGTTTGTACCAAACTTGGACAGAAGCTTGTTTATAATCATAAGAGAGTATCCAGAAGAAAATTTTGTAAAAAAAAAAATCCTGTTTATCCGTATTTTACTCATATATGGACTTAGTTTTTCTGCCAGTTAACATAACATTCACTCTGTGGTTAAAGTTTTTTAAATTTTGATAACTTTCTTAAACTATCCTGGATTTGTACCACACTTGGACAGAAGTTTGTTTGTGATCATAAGATAGTATTCAAAAGTAAATTTTGTTAAAAAAAATCCTGTTTATCCGTATTTTACTTATAAATGGACTTAGTTTTTCTGCCAGTTAACATTACATTCACTCTGTGGTTAAAGTTTTAAAAATTTTAATAACTTTCTTAAACTATCCTGGATTTGTACCAAACTTGGACAGAAGTTTGTTTATGATCAAAAGCTAGTATCTAGAAGGAAATTTTGTATAAATTTTTTCCTGTTTTTCCGTATATTACTTATAAGTGGACTTAGTTTTTCTTCCAGTTAACATTACATACAGTCTGCAGTTAAAGTTTTTAAAACATTCATTAGATTCATAAACCATTTCATTAACTGTATCTATTATGTGCATTCCCCTATCACACTGAAAACATAGACAACAGCAAAAGTAGGCGAGACACTGGGTTCCGCGGAACCCTTACGATTTTTTTCGTAATTTAGAGCTCTATCAAGCTTGAATGTAGTGTCCATACTTGCCTCAACTGTTCAGGTCTCGACCTCTGTGGTCGTGTCAAGCTGCTCCCCGGGAGCATTTTATTACATATATATATATATATATATATATATATATTTAAGATCCATTTATTACATCGGTGATCCGTTTATTTGGCAATCGCCAATGGCAGTCAGCAGGGTTTAAGAACATTTGTTGTTCGACCTGTTAGTCAAATGCGTTTTGTTAAAATATACTTTTTTACTTTTTTGGTCTTTTGGAAAATGTTGTTTGTGCTGTATTTAGACCCCTCTAACAAGAAATTTGTTTTGCATGCACACGTATAAAAATTGCGGTTTTTATCCAACGCAATCATAGGTTTGAACGTTGTTTTCAATTTAGACTTGTTTATATTTTTTCGTCTGGGCTTGTATTATATTTGCCTTCGGGTTTATATGATCCGTTCATCCTATTTTGACTCCTCAAAATTCAGGAGTCTATCCTAAATTGAGGTAAATTGTATGGCTTTCCAAATACCGTTTCGATTCCTAACATCACTGAAGAGACATTAATTGTCGAAATCCGGATATGGTGTACAAAAACCTTTGCACCTTTTGTTTGCGATTTAGCATCCTTTCCGCAAGTTTATTGTTTTCTGTTTAGTATTAAATTTATATTTAAGATCCATTTATTACATCGGTGATCCGTTTATTTGGCAATCGCCAATGGCAGTCAGCAGGGTTTAAGAACATTTGTTGTTCGACCTGTTAGTCAAATGCGTTTTGTTAAAATATACTTTTTCACTTTTTTGGTCTTTTGGAAAATGTTGTTTGTGCTGTATTTAGACCCCTCTAACAAGAAATTTGTTTTGCATGCACACGTATAAAAATTGCGGTTTTTATCCAACGCAATCATAGGTTTGAACGTTGTTTTCAATTTAGACTTGTTTATATTTTTTCGTTTGGGCTTGTATTATATTTGCCTTCGGGTTTATATGATCCGTTCATCCTATTTTGACTCCTCAAAATTCAGGAGTCTATCCTAAATTGAGGTAAATTGTATGGCTTTCCAAATACCGTTTCGATTCCTAACATCACTGAAGAGACATTAATTGTCGAAATCCGGATATGGTGTACAAAAACCTTTGCACCTTTTGTTTGCGATTTAACATCCTTTCCGCAAGTTTATTGTTTTCTGTTTAGTATTAAATTTATATTTAAGATCCATTTATTACATCGGTGATCCGTTTATTTGGCAATCGCCAATGGCAGTCAGCAGGGTTTAAGAACATTTGTTGTTCGACCTGTTAGTCAAATGCGTTTTGTTAAAATATACTTTTTCACTTTTTTGGTCTTTTGGAAAATGTTGTTTGTGCTGTATTTAGACCCCTCTAACAAGAAATTTGTTTTGCATGCACACGTATAAAAATTGCGGTTTTTATCCAACGCAATCATAGGTTTGAACGTTGTTTTCAATTTAGACTTGTTTATATATATATATATATATATATATATATATATATGTTCATAAAATCATATTTAAAAAAAAAAAGCTAATCATGCCCTAAAAAGCTGAAATTAAATAAAGTCTACGAATTTACTGACTGCAAAAGAAACTGTAACCATAAAATGTTTCCGTGAACAATCTTTCTTTTCCGTTTGCTTAGTAGTAAAACTGAAATCTTCCGAGTCGTCTAAACTTAACTATATGGAATATTGCCTCTTTTCTCTTCATCTTCAATCAATTTGTTCAAGTCGAATCGTGCGCAAAATATCACTATCACCCATATTGGACATTGGGATGGTAAATGAAAACATATGGTGTCATGTGATCAATCCTTGGATCTACCCGAATATCAGCACGAAAAATAAACTGTAACATTTGACTATATGATGGTTGTTTGTATTTTTAAAGCCTAGTTCACGTGGTGAAAATTTACCGTGAGGTGCATGTAAATATGCACTTGTCTTAATTTACCTATGATATGCGATGAATTCACATGGTTCTTGTTTCGCCTGTAAAGAAAGTTGCATAATGCGCAGATATTGGGATAACTATCCGTGGGCGACGGTGACGGCGTAAACTACTAGTATAAAGATTCGTACCTAGTATGCGGCAGATGTCTATGTAACGAAGTTTTCGTCTGTCATATGTCCATTGTCCTTGGTCTCATTTTCCTGGAGCACTAAGTGAGCAGTGATTGCTTGAAAAAAAAAACTACAATTGATTGTCATTTGAAATACTCACTTATCAACTGTATTTGGTGTATTGGTTTCTTTGCAAGGTCTACATGTCCGTCAGACAGGGGTCACCTGACCACGATCTCATTTCATGGATCAGTGACCAAGTTTAAGTTTTCGTGGTCAAGTCCGTATCTCAGATACTGTAAGCAATATATCAACTATTTTGGTGTATGGAATAATTGTCAGGTGTGCATGTCTGTCTGGCATGTTTCATCTGACCTTGAT